TTTGAGTCAGACGAACTTAGGTTTAAGTACTGTTTTACTCTGTATTTAAATAAGATAACTTTTTGCAGTATCTGGGATTTAGTAGGCACCTGATAAGTATTTTTCTTCCTTCTAATTATTGACATCCTTTCTTTCCTCCTCAAATCTGAATTTGTCATTGTTATTGCTGCTATTTAATTTGGTTTTGTCTTATACTATAGGAGCAGAAAAAATGGAAAACCCATAAAATCCTTTGTAACCACTTAGATATTAGGCCGGGTGTGGTGGCTCATGCCTGTAATCCCAGCACTTTGGGAGACCGAGGTGGGCGGATCTTCTGAGGTCAGGAGTTCGAGACCAGCCTGACCAACATGGAGAAACCCCGTCTCTACTAAAAATACAAAAAATTAGCCGGGCGTGGTGGCACAGGGTTTGCCAGTATCTCTATTGCAGGATTTGCACTTGATTCCTCAGGGGACTATTGTCTCACAACTTCTCTTTTTTTGCTGTTGTGATCTCTCGCCCAGGCGCTTTGGTATCAGGATGATGTTGGCTCATAATCATGAGGTAGGCGAGGAATTCCCTCTCTTCTTTCTTATTGCCTTTGAATACCGTTCCAAGGAATGGTACCCTATGCTCCTCCGTGTGCCTCTGGTAGACCCATTCACCTGTGAATCCTATGCCTGTCTGGACTTTTTTTGGTTGTACCCGCTATTAATATTGCCTCAATTTCCAGAGTCCCCTCACTAAAACGCCTTTGACCAAAATTCAAACACCCTGTCTCGCCTAAAAACTCCAAAATTCCGGTATTGATGGGAATCTATTCAAAATCATAAGAGCTATCTTACCGACAACACAGCCAATATCATACTGAACCTGGCAAAAACTGGAAAACTTCCTTGAAAACTGCACAAGACAGGACCTGCCCCCCTCCTGCTCACCACTCCTATTACCACCCAAGATGTTCGAAGTTCATGGCTAAGGGCAATCAGGGGAAAGAAAAGAATCCAGGGTATTCCGCTATCAGGCAACCACGAAGAAGTCACACCCATTTCCCTCTTGTCGCGATGCACATAGGGTTGTTACCTACCTTAGACAACCTTGCCCGCAGCCAAAAATCTCCTTAAACTGGATCAAGAAACCTTCCACAAAGTCTCAGGATACAAACATCAATGTCAAAAATCACAGCCATCTCTCTATACACAGTAACGCCAACAGCAGAGGCCACATCACTCGAATAACTCTCATTCAACAATTTGCTTCACGAGAATAAAATCAACCCCGTAGAATCAACTGACAAGCGGACGTACCAACCGGACCCTCTTCAATGGAGAACTACAAACACTGCCAGCTGAAAATAAACAGCAGGACACCCCAACGGACAGAACACATACCATGCTCCTGGCTAGCACCCATCATATTGTGAAAATTGGCCATTACTGGTGCCTGCCCAAAAGCGGAACTTTAACCGACTTCATGCCATCCCTCCAAGTAACCAATCATTTCTTCAGAGAACTTGAAAAACCTGCTTCTTAAAGTTCATACAGGACGCAAACAAGAGCCGCATCCCTCCAAGACCAATCCCTAACAGTCAAAGAAACAAAGTGGAGCATCACCCACTACTACTGACTTCAAAACATCTCGCTAAGTGCCTACAGTCAACCGAAAAACACATGGCCGAACTTGCGGTAACAAAAACAGACATATACGCACCCACTGCAACGAACCGAGCCTCAGAAATACATACCACCCTCTCTACCGGCACTCTATGTCATTCCCGATAACAACATCGAAACAAAGAAAACTTCGGGAACAGGACTTCTTATTTCAGCGATCAATGGGTGCTGGGTACATTGGCTAGCCATAATAAACACCTGAAACTGTCTATTCCTTACTCCTTATATGAATTCTAATCAAACGATCGGGATTAAGACTTAAATGTTAACCTAAATCACCATACAAAAACAACCCTAGAAAAACCTAAAGGTCATACCTTCAGGACATAGTCCATCGGGCAAGCGACTTCATGTTCAAACAACACCAAACCTTACTCATGGCAACCAAAAGCCAAAAATTGACAAACATGGACATCTAACGTTAAACTAACGAGCTTCTGCAGCACCAAGCAAAAACTGAGAACTACCATCCAAGTGAGACTCGGCAGGCAACCTACCAGAATGGGGAAAAATTGTTTGCATCTACCCATCCTGACAAACGGGCTAATATCCGAACCTACAAGAACTCAACAAATTTCAGAAAAAGAAAACAACACCCATCAAAAAGTGGGTAACAGATATGAATACGACATTTCTCAGAAGAGGACATTCATACAGCCAGCAGACACATGAAAAAATGCTCTTCATCACTGCCATCAGACGAATGCAAAATCAAAAACCACAATGAATACCATCTCACACCACGTTAGAATGGCGATCATATTACAAAAGTCAGGAACAACAGGCTTCTAAGACCGG